AGAGCAATATCAGGTGACCAAAGAATAGTTTTGGTATAGTCGGCGGTTACTAAAAGGTAATAAACCAGTTTTGAAGAACGCAGAGTGGATGAAAAAAATGCAAATAATAAGAACATTTCCTTTCAACCATATAACATCACTCCTTTGCTCAGAGTGTTTGAAAAAACTCTCCAATGTAGGCAGAGTTGCGAAAGTTAAATGCAGTTTGATTATTAGTATGTCACATAAAGGACGGCAGCGAAATGGGCTGTCTATGAGTAGTAAAATTCTGTAATTAGCTTTTCTATTCGTAAACAATTAGAATGCTTCTTGGAAATCTAGCTTTGTGGTAATTTTCGCAGACTGCATGAGGTCACGTCCATTTTTACCAAGAATTTCAGTGTGATAAGCTTGCAAAAATCTTGGAACGCATTCATATTTCAACCAACTCCATACCACTTCATCCAGCATTCCTCCCCTCCCGCCTAATCTATGAAATTGTACACCTTTAGCCAAAAAATGTCCCGAATGATATAGTAAGGTTCGAGGATACAAAGCTACCTAATTTTATATTTGCTTTTTAGCTGCAGTAGAAAAAATACTGTATGAGAGATTTCTTAGCATTTACAGACTTTCGCCCAGCTATATAATTTTTTTATTATGGAACTAAAATTTTCTTTTGTAAGTAGAATAAGCAAGAAATTTGAGTCAATTCACGTAGATAGAGAGATTAGTATTTTCGGAGACAAAAAGATTAGTATTATTTGCACAGAACATGGAAGAAAAAATAGAAAGAATGCGACCTTTGAACATTGACTCTAATCACTCGTGGGCGTTATCGTGAGAATAGCCAGCCCAAATGTCATCGATGAGTATCAATCCATCAGTTTGTGCGAGCCTAGGTGGCCTTGTCTCTCCATGCGCGCCATTTTCACAATTTTTTCATTCACCCACCCAAGCACATTTAGCTCACTAAATCACATATGTTCGGCAGGAATACCGTAACCCGTGGGTGTCACGGTACACATGCTCCGAGCACTTGTCGGTGTAATCGGCTCTAGACAAACTATCGCGGATCTTCGTTGTTTGAACAATGTTTGGCCATTGAGCACCTTTTTTGCAAAGATGCTGCGCTTTTTTTGCACTTTGCAGTGGCTACTTCTCATCGGCCATCTTCGCTGAGATATTTGAACTATGGTTATTACAAAAATGAGCGAAAGCAGGGGCCTCGAACTAAGAAATATCTGAGAAATGTAAAGACAAAAGAGCATTGGCGGACCGAGGAAGGATGTTTGGGGAGAAAGATGTTCAATCCCCTCTCGGAATGGATCGCTTGGGCTGATCATGAAATTTTGCACACTTATTTTCAGTAAATGCATGAGGCGGTTCAGGAAATTTTTCGAGGAAGGAGTTCGACAGAAGTTCGAGATGGTGGCATTAGCCACTCCAATAAGACTTTCTATATTTTACTCTTTTTTGCGGGCCTATGACCTAAATTTCCAGAAAAGGGACGGGATTACAAAGCTGATACAAAAACTTCAAGAACAAGAAATTTTTACTTTAAAAGCAACTCACTTACCTTCCCGGTTTTCCCTCCCCCACCCCCCACACCTCGGTCTGCTCAGATAAGTTTTTGTAGAATAAAAAGTCAAATCCGTTTCATAAATTTTCTCAGTTTCTACCCTTCTATTTTTTTTCAGTTCAAAAAACTGCACAAACCTGAAAAGCTTTTTGAAAAAATTCCTGGAAAACGTAGAACAGGCCATATATGTCATTTTTTGCCGTTTTCTTTCCCTCTTCCTTCCTCCCGACCTCATTAGGGTTGTCATTACGACAGGGTTACAGAAGTTGATATATGAGCATGTCCTTTTTCCGATGTACCTGTTCAGAATAAATCTTGAACAATATTTAATACGACGACATGCACTATTACTTCCAACCAAAATACTCTGGCACTGTGCCAAGGTTATCCAACGTCATCAGCTTTCTTTTTTTTTTTGATCAAACTCAACTCAGCGGAAAATGTTGCTAAGGGCAACCCGATTCAAATCTAGACGTTAATAATGATTTAGGTATACTTGAATCGACAGAAATGTCTACTTTCCCATGCTCGTCTGAGAAAGGAGGGAGTGAAGAAGAGGCCATGACTCACTCTTCAAATTTACATTCTTTAGAGTTTTATGATGATCAAAGATGATTTACGATGAGTCATGAGGGTTATTTGTCGCTTAGCAGGTGAAAATAAGACTATAAAATTGGGAAGAGGGAGGTTTGATGGTGCGGGAGATGTTAATGGATTGATGTGAAAACTACCGAAATATGATCAGAAATTTTATCCTGGAATTTTCTTTGAATGGCTCTCCCTCCTTAGTTTTGAATAAGTACGTTACAATCAAAAAAAATTACTAAGTGCTTTGTGCAAAATTTATTTTATTTCCTTGGTTCAGCGTCAGAAAACTTGCCAGAAATATAAGACTGCCTTTGCAATTACAAGGCACTTCTGCTATAATGTCACTAGTGTAAGCAAAATTTTGAAACTTTAGATTTTGGATCGCTAAGTTTTTTAGGAGCAGTCTAAAGAAAGTCATAATACGACGATTCTCTCACAATGAAAAGGTCGCGATGGAAAAATCTATCGTAATTTGTGTTTTTTCGAGTATTTAGAAACATAGTCAGTTGTATATCACGAGCTGTAATTTGAGAAGTCTAGAGATAAAAAGGCATTGCAGCATCCCTTATACGATTTGGACGAGGAAGTAAAAGTACAGAATGGTATAGAGTGTACTTCCGCTATACTATACAGCGTCACGTGGAAAGGTATTAAAAGATTCCATTTCACAGATATATGTTTGGTAACGTTAATAGTGCATTGAGGGGTAATAATAGCTAATAGCAAAAGTTCAGTTGTTTTGCTTCAAAATTCCACAGCTTTCCTTTGCCGATGAAGTTTTGGAAATTCGGCTCAAAAAGAGAGGGTGTGTACCAGCAATTCGAGGGCTAAATTTTGGGGCTGGGTCTCATAAGGGAAGGATATTTGGTCGAAATACAGTTTCATGAGATGTTTACTTTCCTATAGAGCAAAAACCGCTGATTCCAAATCTGCTTTCGGTGCAATGCGCTTATGGGATTGGAGTAATGAAACTTTTTTGAACAAAAATTCAATTTTTGGCTTAGGTAAAAACGAGTGTTGAGGTCTTTTCTAGGGCTCGGCACGAGGTGGCTAGATGAAAATGGAAAAAACGAAGTCCCTTGACTTTTGAGAATTTTTACGAAGTCCCCTTTGACCCTCAACCAAATTTCCTCTAAAAACCTGAAAAATTCCCCAAAATCCCCCAAAAAACGAAACTTCAACTAAAAAAAACGTCGCCAAGTCGCCTATTTTGCGTCTCTCTTCGGTCACAAAAACGAAACCCCCTTTGCTTTTCGTCCCAAAAACGATATCCAGCTTGCTTGTAAGCCAACCTCGTGCCGAGCCCTGGTCTTTTCGGCGCTTGACTAGAGTCACAAGCTTGGATTTATTACGCTGAAGGTATTAACTGCACGAAGCATCCTGACAGTAATCATGATTCTATCCTAGTTCGCAGATTACAGTTCTTTTTTTTTCTGATTTCATTGTAGCTGCGCCTTAAAATTTTGCTCAAAAATTTCCATAATTTCCGTTTCAGAATCGCCTTGCAGATAGTGAAAACAGGTTCGGAATCAGCGTTCCATGCTCTATAAAGTATACAGTATACGTTTCCTATGGAAACGCCACTTTGACTAAGTATTCTTCCCTTGTTAGAGGTGCAAATCCTTCAGTCGAGACCTAAATTTGGCAACTGAGACCGCGTCCGAGCCTCGTGTGCTGGAGCTGTGCCAGAGCAATATCAGGGCCGTGCCAACGCGGCGCTGACGCCGTCCACTGCCCACATTCACGAGCCCAGCATTGATCGATGGAAATTCCAGACGGAATTGGAACGGCATTGGAACGGTGGTGACACGGCGGTGACCGCGCTAGCAGGGGCAACTCTGAACGCATTCTTAGGCCCTGGGCATACCTCACTCGATTTGACAAAGCTCTAATTGTTCGTAATTCATTGTAAGGGATTTTTGCATGTACGGAAAACAGGATATTATCGACCCACGAAAGTTATACATGCTGTGCACTTGGGGTCGGCCAGTATTGAATTTGGAGACGGGCAAAATGCCAGATCGCGTGGCGACTAATATTATATAATCGCGTGAGGTATACCTACGGCCTTAAGGCTCCCGCCAGAGTGCCGAAGTTATGCCAGCGCTACGCCAGCATTTCGTCGATACACGTGTATTTCGTTGGGGACGTCAGTTAGCCCCGCCCCAACGAAATACACGTGTATCGATCGAAATGCAGGCGTAGCGCTGGCATAACTTCGGCACTCTGGCGGGAGCCTAAAATTGTCTCAGCCGAGACCTCTTTAGAGTTGATTTTAAGAATGATGGAATGCTTTCAATTATGCTGGTAAACATGAAGCATTTTTTTTTGCGTGGCATTGAGCCATGCACTACTGGGCGTACTATTATCTTCTAGAAAGATTGTAAAAATTAGGGAGAGACATCGATCTGTTGTAGATTCAATAACTCTCATTTTGATTGTGTTTTTAATCACCTTTGGCACCAACATTTTGGCCTAATGCGTACTCAAAACATTTGTTGTTTCTTTTTATTTGGTTTCTAGTTGTGATACTGTAAAAAGTCAGAATCAAGAACTTCTAAAGATGTTTTCTTTATCAGTCTCAGTCTTTATCAGTAAAACATGGACCACTTTTACATAAGATATTACTTACATATGTTACAATGGACTTTACAAACTGTTAGGCTCAATTTGAAGTGAATCTTGGTTTTCCAAAAACCTTCACCAGTACTCAATTTCGTAAACTTTTCCTGTGATTAGAGAAGGAGTTCAAAGGCGCAAACACCTTTTTCTAGAGGAATAACCATCAGAATTAGGTTGTGATTGGGAGAAAAGTAATTGATTTTTACGACAAAAGAAATTCTTCACCAACCTGCTCTATGAATGGTAGTGTGATGAAAGCTTTCCGTAATGGCGAATCCGTTATACATATTTGGACTATGAAGCTTACTATCCAACAAAATGAGAACATTATTTGAACAGACCATGTCTGACAAGCTATCCGAACCTCGAAAACAGCAAAAATCCTTGTCAACAGGCAGTAACGGTCTGAATACACATCGTCAAACGATAATAATGAATTATTGACGAGGTTGAAAAATAGCTTCTTATGAAGGGTTGCGATAAATAGAGTGGACGTTGTTATTAATCGCAATGTTTTGCCCCAGCTACGACTTGGAAGCTAATCAAAAGTAAGAACTAGCTCAAGCATAAATTAGAAGTCTGTCTTTTTTGATTGCTCGCTTTACTCCGGAAGCGCAGAGTAGGTATAAAAGAGCTCAAAGGAATCAGTGGAGTACGGTAGAGGGGAATTATCTTACGAGTGGGAGGCTTTTGTGTACTGTGTGCACTTGACAATAATAATGTCAAGTCATCAATTCAAACAAGACTGGAGATCATGTAGGGGCAAAGTTTTTTTTTGTTGAAAAGTGACGGTCTTAAGTCTCACTAATTTCCCAGTATCCGTTTTGCCATAACCAAACTCTACTATTTATCAAGTTCCACACTCAAAACTCCGGGACAAGAAAGTCACAATTTTCTGCTGTACACTCGCGGAAACTCTCACACAGATTTTTGAATGATTACTAAGTAAACAAGCTTGATTGAATTTGCGTATTGCATCCATTGATGATTTTCAAGATTTTTTGGATTTTTATTTTTTCAGTGAATATGCGAGAGGAAAACAGCCATATCGTTTATGGTTTTCATTTCTGGAATTCTCCGTAGGCAATAAGTTCTACTGGTAGAACGCTATGCTTTAAGCTCGTTTACTTCTGTCTGAAATTTACTGATATTCCTTCTGAAGCTTTCCAAGAGCAAGTCAGTCCAACTCATCACACATGACTAGAAAGGAAAATGCATGGACTTTGCGAGAAAACATTTAGATGAGACTTCCAAGTGTAAAAAAAGCTCATTCAAATGAGTGATATCTTACCGTTACAATGTGAAAAAACACATATTCAACTTACATTTGTATCTTCTTAAATTAAATTTTCACTGTGAAAAAATGTGACAATCGATCTTCTTCCTAGACTATCAACAAAAACGTTCACATTTTGTGTGCTAAGGGAAAAAGATGAATGTCAAGGCGGTCTTTGGTACGGAAGACACATATTTCACAATTTTTTTCCTAGCAGTTTGAAAAAAGGAGAGCGATAAAGACATTAGTGAAAAAACCACCTCCATCTTTTCACAAAAAAAGGAGCCCGAAGTCCGAGGTGGACTTTTTGTTTTTTCTCAAAAAAACACTCAGGATTAACTTTTATGCAGATTATAATACTGCGAAATTTTAGAGGCCTAGATACGAGTTTCAGGAGGAATGCGCAAGCTTTAAGGGTTTCTTGCTTCAAAGTAAAAGCTGCTTACCGATGAGTATTTGAAGAATTAGATAGTAGTGGAAGTTTCAAACTGCGCAAGGTGTAGCAGCACAATAGCAGAAGGTGGAGCACATATGCATATCAAAGAGTTTTTGCTCATGAGACAGGTTCTCTTGAAAGAATAATGGAATCTGAAACAACCGGTTAAAGCAGACTAAGTGCTGCTCTCGAAAAGCAAAGAAATAATGAATTCGAAACAAAAGACAGCTGCGTTAGACGATTGAAGCGAGACAGTTTGTTTGACCAATGACTCTCTTAGGCTAGAGATTTTGAGCTCTTATGGCCACAGAAACCGACTAAAGCTTATTAAAATGCAAAAGAAGAATTGCAAGAATAAAGTGCATACAGAAGGCGCTGAGCGAATGTCAGCAACAACGGGCACGGCACAGTGACGCATAATGTTGAAAATTTGCATAGAAGCACTATAGCGATCAGGTTTGCTACGAAATCGATTTGAATTATTGAAAAGTTACGATTGCGAAGAATGCCTTAGGCGGTGACAAGGCTCTAAGAGAAGAAAATGCTAAGGCAGCTCCATATCTAGATATACATGGATGCAGCTTGAACAGAATGTTTTTGCGAAAGAAGATCCCCATCTGAATGCTTTTAGCCTTCTTCCCTTTCCTCTCTAGCAAGATCTATACGGACTATTTACTTTCCGTACATCAAAAGTAATCCTCTACTTCAGAATGATTTGTGCCTATGTTTCTCGAGTATCTCTGATTTTGTTGTGAAGATCTTCAATCTTATGGTGATTACTCAAGATATTAGGGTGTCCCGAAAGTTTTGTCGTTTTTTTCAAACCGCCTCAAAACTACGCACCATAAAGACTTGAATGAGTTTCAACGTGCATTCGATGCAGCTTTTCCTTCTCTTTCTTATGGATACATATTCGAACCATAATCTTGCAGACTTTTTTGAAAATTGCCGAAATTCCCCACCCATCAATTTTAACTGCTCAAAGTTTGACTAATTTTTGAAATTTTCATTTCAAAGATTCGGAAATGGTTAAGTATGAGTCAAAAGGAGCAATTCTCGGACTACGAGGTGGTATTTTTGAATTCTCTTAAACTGCGTTTTTAGTTTCAAATAATTGATTCTTCGGAGGTTTCGATTTTGGCAAAGTCATGAAACACGCGACTGCAGCAACTACATGAAAGCTATTGAAGTTTCTGCGTATCAAAACATAATTCTTACTAAACATTATTTATGCAACATAACCAAGTTTAATTTGCTTTGAAAAAGTAGCTTTTTGGAATTTTCGGTACCTTTACGTGGTAAACGTGATCGAAAAGCCGCGGTTTTTATCAAATAAATAATTATAACGGACTTGGTAAACATGGCCCATGTAATCTAAAATGAACATAATGTAGCCAAAGGTTTGCTCTTCATAATAGTTACCTGCGCCGGCGCTCTTGAAAACTTCAGGATAAAGATTTTTGAAATTCAGGGAAGTTTTGGCGTTACTGCTGAGCTGCTTAAAAAGCCATGGCAATAACGTTGCAAAGACAGGGTAAATAGAAAGCAAATATAGTTGTAAGAAAGAGGATAAAAATCTGAATCAAATAGTACCTAAGTCGTCCATGGATTATTGTTTTGTGAGTTTTGGTGAGTGATGAAAAAACGGACAAAACTTTCGGGACAACCTAATATAATAGAACCGCCACCTTTTCTTTTTTCTTTCATTTTTTCCAAGGTATCTGTGTTAGATATCGAATGAGAGTGTTTGTAGAAAAGTTTTCCACTAGTTAAACTCTGTTTTTTATGCTGTTCGAAATTTGATATCCCTATACAAAGTACTGAATTCGCTAACTTCGAGAATTTGTCAAGACTAATTAACCAAAAATAATGTTTCATATCTAGTTTAAATATGGCGAATTTCTTTCGAACCCTCAGTCAAAAGTTTATCAAGTAGAAACATGCCTTTACAATGTACACATTATAAGAAATTTCTGGAAGCTATTATTATCTAAACCGCTTTAGCGTAAATGCCTTGAAAATCTGGGAAGTAATATCATGAAGTCAATGCACAATATATCTCATTGAATCTATTTGAAGATGCAGCAAAAACGTTCGGTACATAGAATGAACCTATTAGCCCTTATTTGTTCATGCACACTCGCCAAAAAAGTTGATCTCGCAGAGGAAATGAATAAATTTATGAAAGAGTACAGTTTTTTTCCGGCATTCACAGGTTTGCTTAGTCTAAATAGTAGTAGCTAGTGTGATGGCAATGAATAGACCTTGACAAATTAAAAGATGGACAATGAAGAGACTTTGATAATTGAGATTCCATAATTGTGTTCAAAAAATCATTTCCGCTTGATCAGTTTTTTTTTTGAAATCTAACAACTCTTGATCATTAATTTTGTAAGTCTCGTTGCACAATAACTGGATTGGAAATCAGATTGAATGCTGAGTTAATATTGGGTAAAAAATCTCAGTGTATCCATTTTTTTGAGAATTAATGAAGAAATTGTTAGCTAAATATGTTGGAGGAAGTGGTTATGTGCCCCTTATAAATTCAAAGTGATAGAATTAAACTTCAAAATTTAATATTTTTGAGCAGCCGGTCGGAATTTTCGCAAAACGAGGAACCATTGTAAAGCTTTGGCCAATCTTTCTGGTAGCTAAAACCATCAAGAAGATATGTAGGAGTACTAATGTTAGCTACTAATGTTCTGTTTATCTTGAGTAATATATAGCTCAGCACTTCAAAGTACATCGGTGAAAAAGGTGGTGATTATAGCTCCGGAAAGAGAAGAAATCCAAATCGACTTGCTTAGAGGTGTACAGTAGTAAAAATTATTGGCCTTGAGAAGTGATTAAAGTGTAAAGTAGTAAAAATCATTACCTGTGGTTTGTCAAAGACCGAAACAGCTGCATCTTGGCAAAGGCACTATTTTTCACATTAGAGAAACTGAATCCTATAAGAAAGTTCCACGCATTCCAATGGCAAAAGATTTTCTCAAAAGAAAAAAGACAAAGTATTTTCGGAAACGAGAAAGTAGAGAGATGGAATTCGAATGCAATTATGCTAAAACACAGAGTGTGCACGGCGATTGATAGGGGCAGAGTTTTTGCACTTCGATGTGGAGCGCGTTTGCAGAAAAGAGTTCTGTTGGTGGTGGGGGAAAACTGGTCGCCGTGCACTTTGCACTTTATCAGAGCGCGATTTTTTCTGTTGTGCAAGAGCAAAGCCGAGAGAGCGAATGCCAGACGTGCATTCGATTCTTTCTGCCAGTCTGTAAAACTACGAACAAGCTGTCAGTTCACGGAGCCAAAGCTGCCACATACGCAAAAAAACACACACACAACACAAGCACTGACTGTTATACTGGACGGGGCGCACTTGGCTCGTACAGCTTTGTTCGAAGACTTTTGTTCGAGAAAAACTTGCATGCACAGCTTTTGATAAACATTATTCTGCGTTTGTTTAGACTAAACGCTGACGACGCAGCAAAAAAAAAACGCATTGAAGTTTGAAAATTTCATCGACAAACTGCCACACATTGTATGCCTGACTGACATACCCCGATGTGAAAAGTTTGCGGGAATGAAAAGCACGGCAAATATCATAAAATGTGACCAAAACGTCTGTGATTCATGGAAAACACTTGAAAAACTGGTTATAGGATAGTTTCGAAGTGATGAATCACTGAAATGTGACACCTAGTCTGAGGAAAAAAAGCGCCCCGCCAATAAAGGCAGACGGCGAAAGTGGCGTGCAAGGCGAAAAAGCGAGCGGATTGTGCTGAACCGTTTCGCTCTGTGGTTTTGCAAAATCAACAGCGAAAGTTGGGCGAAACTTCTGCGGGAGATTGGAGTGATAGGAGAATTATCGGAAGAAGGCTTGGTTATTTTATGAGTTTGAATATCGTCAGATCAGTCATACTATCGATCAAAAATTCACATCAGTAATATTATTAGTGCTATAGTAATATTTTATCTGAATTCAAAAAAAATCAAAATCAAACTCCATGTTCAGAATGCTACCTTTTCATGAAGCACATTAACATAAAAAGTAAAATCTTTGAATGGACGAGATGGGTCCTCAAAGAGGCTAACAATCTCCGCCATACAAGTTCACTTATACATATGATTACGATGAAACGGAAAAAATCACAATGGAAGAAAGCAGCAGCGGTCAAAAAAAATTTTTTTTTCGGGACGCCAGAAATCCTTTTTTCCAGTAAACTGCCACACTAGTCGAAAACTTTTTGTACCCAATTTTTGACGGGCTCATAGTCCCGAAATTCCAAAGTGGACGCATAGCGATAACTACGCATTTATTTTTGATACTTTTTTGATTTGAATTTTATAAAACATTTCTTGCTGAAATTGAAATTTCAGCAAGAAATGTTTCAATATTTCACTAGTAGAATCACATTTGCAACTTTATAACTACTAAGAAGCTTTATGAAGTCCAACACAAATTTTTAAGCCCCTCCCCCCTACCGTCTGAGTTCTCCGACCCTCCCTTTCCTTCTCTATTCTCCAATATTCGTCATTACATTTGTTCCGCCAATGATGCCGGAACAAATGTAATGACGTATGATTTTTACAAAAAAAAAGTGGCAAAATAGATCCGGAAGAAACTTAGTGAACGTATGATTACTGAAAAAAATGACAGAAAAAAGGTAGAAGCGGATGCTGGGGACGAACAAGAGGAAAGGGGAGGGAAGGGCAGAAAAGAAGGAGGGGAAGGAGGAAAAAGAAAGCAGAGAAAAAAGGTGGTGCACGTACCCAAGGTTTTCAAAAAGTGCTACAGTTCCAGGAGACAGTTCCCGAGAAGAAGAAAAATTAGCGCACTTTCATTTTTCTCATTTTATGAGCCATAAGTTTGCCAATTTTTGAAAATCGTCTCGCTTGAGTGGATTTTTCTGCTGGTTCCAGGCACGCCTTTTTTGCAAAAAAAATTTCTATCGAGTCTATACTAAGATTCGCAACATCTAGCGATAGATAGCGATCAAAGAAAAGAGAAGAATGATTGAGTAGATGTAGTCGAACTATTTCGAGAGTACTTTTTAGAGTTTGAAAGCCATTACATGACTGAAAGTCGCTTTAGTGCTGGGGACTGAGTAAACATTTACACAAGCACTACTTGTAAGATTTATTTGTGCAAAATTTATGTAAGTTAACTTGGTAAGGTGCCCAGCAGTTGCAGCAATATATCGGTTAAAATCTACAGTTTAGTATTTTTTCACTTCATGAAAAAAAAACCAAAATTTGTGAAGTTGAAAGATAAAAAAAATTGTGGTGACCTTGGTGGGATCGACAAGATAATTTTTTCCCAAGCATAGATTTTCCTGTGGTGCCTGAGTTTTTTGCAAAGTTGTGGCCCCAAAGTTGAGGGGGCGTAGCGGGAGCGAATTCTCAAAGATAGGCGATTCAATCATTCCCTAAAAACTTTCCCTTTAGGTGATTTCACCCTTTACGATGTTTATGAAACTGTTTTTATTTTTAAAAATTCAGAGAGGTCGCATAAATCTATAGCAAATGTAAAACGATATTGAATTCATACCTCTTCTCGAGAAAAGTGCAAGAAGTAAAAATGAAGGTAGTGAAATAGATGAGAAGCGGAGAGGGAGGAAGAGGAGGGGTAGGGGGAGAAAAAATTCAAACAAATTTTTGTCGATCTCGTCGAACTTTTCAGCCATCGAGCGCTAGGCCAGAGCGACAAAGCCTAAGCTCGTCAATCATTATACCCTTTTTGCAAATGCATTGACAACGGAGCGCACTTTTTTGCCGTGCAAGCGATTTTTCGTCGATTATAGGGTGCACGCAGAGATCAATGGATCATGACAAATAAGACGAGAGGGCCGTAATTGACAGCCATGGGGGCTCGACACATCGTCGTGCAAAACCCGGCGCGACCATAGACGGGAACGGCCAGTTCAAAGTTGTGAAGTGGGCGGGCCGCGAAAGTGCAAGCCGGCCGTCGGTCAAGTGCGCGGCGATGGCAAACGGGCAGACGGACACCCGATGCGGGCACGCAGCCGAGCAGCAGCACGGCCACCCCCGATCGGCGCAAAAAACGTGGCCGTAATGTCGGACGGTGGCCCTCGTGAGCGTGTGAGAGTGTCTCTCTCGCTGGGGTGACTGCTCTTCCACCCCCCCCCCCCCTCCTCCCCCCGTTTGCAGCCCCATCACGTCATGCAAGAAGAAGCGTCTGACTAAAAGCTTGCAGTGTGAGCCAATGTCAAAAGAAGAGTCTGGTGAAGGGAACGGGGATGGAAAGCGAGGGAGGAGGACCGAGCAAAAAGGACTACGTAGCTGCCATTACTGGATTTCACAAATACAGTCCACTGTCATAAGTAACCTTAGAAAGCTGTAATCAAGCTCTGCATACGAATGTACTTAGGCCTACGGCATAACTCGCGCGATTCGGCAAAACAGCGGCTCTTCGTAATTCGTTGTTAATGCGCTGGCTTTGGTCAGAACTTGCTCCGTTTGCAACAACTTACACAAGCTACCCAAGTATGCGTCCGAGAAGCGCGCACGACAAATTTGTAGAAATCTGGCAAATCGCCAAGTCGCGTGGAAGTGGCGATTTGGCCGAATCGCGTGAGGTATGCCTTAGGCCTTAGCTATATCTCACGCGATTTCAGTCGCCATACGATTTGGCAATTTGCCCGATGTCTTTAAATCCAACACTGGCAGACCGCAAATGCACAGTTTGTACAAACTTTTGTAAATTGATGAACTATCCTCTACGCCTCTAGGATGCGCATATGATGAGTTGAAAATAACTGGATTATTGCCAAATCGCATCGCGAGTGAAATCGCGTGAGGTATGGCCAAATTCCATCATCCTCACTCAATGATGAGAAGGACTGGGTTGCGCCAGGTGAGGATGATGGAATTTGAGAAGGATTAATACGGAGAGAAGCCAATTATATCTATAATTTCATTTCAAGTCAATTAGCCCAATCAGTGAGGGGTAAAAAAGCTGAGAATGGATGAATAAGTTGATGGAGGATATAAATGGTAAGATTAAGTTAATGAATGTTCAAATGAAAGGATGGGAGAATGACCAGCACTAATTAATTAATCCAGTAAATAACGTGATAGAAGGATAAAATTGCTAACAACTTTGAACATCATTGATAGAGCAAAGTAAGAGCAAGACAGTATCTGAACTATCACAAAAGGTTCCACCTGCTCAAATTTTGCTGAAAAAAATCTAGAAAATTTCGAGTACCCAAAAATCAGATTTTCGTCCAAACAGACCCTGCGAGCTCCCAATTTGGTCAAGCATATACTATACACATAAGATATTTATATGCACACATGCCGTACTCTATTCTTAATCAAAAACGGAGAGTAGAAAATAGCCAAAAAACTCGAAAATGTCGCCTTCTTTTGGTTTTTGTGTTTGATTTGATATTTCTCTACATATATGTAACGCTCGAAGGAGGTCGAAAATTTATTCTTATACTATCAAAGGTAAAGTACTAAATTATCTATGTCGGTACAATCCAGCTTCAAGTTTACTAGCACATGCCGAATTCTCCTATTTTTACTTCTAGCCATGGAAGAAATGCAGTAAGTGTACATGCGCATAGCAGAGGCAGCAAGTAATTTTTGTAAGTTGGAGGTTGGTAGGGTTTTGGATGGAGATCCGATTTTTGGGCTTTAAAAATGTTTACATATTTTCCCAACCTTTCATGTATCAAAGTTTCTAAAATTGTTCATTCGATATGTTTTTTATCAACCTTTCTGCGCCACGAATTAGTAGAATGCATTAATCATGCATTAACCTAATAAATTTTTTCGTAGTCGTAAAGCTTATTGATTCCGCCCAAAATATTCCGGAACGTTTAGAAGTTCCTAGAACCTGTTAGTCTAAAATGGAGCAACTGTGTTTGAACTTCTTACCAACA